TACAACTCCCAAAACTCAAGGTCAATGCCCACCAAACCCTTCCAGTATTTTCTGTTGGACGTGGGAGTTCTGTGTGCCAAGTTTAGTTCAATTCCATCATTAGTGGAGTTCTGAATGCTCTTTGCTTGTAGGTGAACTATAAATCCCATCTCCTAAATGACAGTCAACCCTCCCCCAACCCCACCATCATTCAAATGTCTGCATATCAGATATTTGTGCCAAATTGGTCCAGTGAATGAAATACATTCTGTATTTAAGATATTTACATTACAATTCATCACAGGAGCAGAATTACAGTTCTGAAGTAGCAACAAAAAAATAATTTTATGGTTGGGGGTCATCACAACATGAGTAAATGTATTCAGGGGTCATGGTATTAGGAAGGTTGAGAGCCACTGACCTAGGGCAAGCATCCTCAGAGGTTGTTAGGTGACCACAATCCTATCTCTTCAGCCAAAAGCAGGCCCACACTTCCCATTGAAATACTAATAAGCTTATATCTGTTAAAATTGTTATTTATTTATTGTATTGTTTTAAAGTGGGTTTTTTTGCACTACAAATAAGATATGTGCAGTGTGCATAGGTATTCATTTATGTTTTTTTTCACATTATAATCCGGCCTTCCAACACTTTGAGGGACCGTGACCTGGCCCTCTGTTTAAAAAGTTTGAGGACTCCTGCTCTATGACGAAGAACCGCCAGGACTTCCTCATTCCAGCATTTTCTGATCTTCTTTTTCCTTTATGGCGTTGTAAAACACCTTCCCCTGCTTTAGCGGTACCTAATTTCTCTAATTACAGCTAAAGCTATTTTCGAATTGCTTTGGTAAACAGTGAGCAGGGCTAACAGTCGGCTGCTCACGCCGACCCAGGGCTTTGAACTTGCAACCTTTCGGTTGATAGATCTTATAGTTGCTGATGATTTACCAACGGTAGTAAACCTCTACTGGCTGCTCATCTGCTACCTGTTGCACTCCCGATCAGGAGACAGGGCCCTCTTGTCATTATTACACCACACCTTGGTTTAGAATCCTAGAATCATAGAATCAAAGAGTTGGAAGAGACCTCATGGGCCATCCAGTCCAACCCCCTGCCAAGAAGCAGGAATATTGCATTCAAAGCACCCCTGACAGATGGCCATCCAGCCTCTGTTTAAAAGCTTCCAAAGAGGAGCCTCCACCACACTCCAGGGCAGAGAGTTCCACTGCTGAACGGCTCTCACAGTCAGGAAGTTCTTCCTCATGTTCAGATGGAATCTCCTCTCTTGTACTTTGAAGCCATTGTTCCATTGCGTCCTAGTCCCCAGGGAAGCAGAAAACAAGCTTGCTCCCTCCTCCTCCCTGTGGCTTCCTCTCACATATTTATACATGGCTATCATATCTCCTCTCAGCCTTCTCTTCTTCAGGCTAAACATGCCCAGCTCCTTAAGCCGCTCCTCATAGGGCTTGTTCTCCAGACCCTTGATCATTTTAGTCGCCCTCCTCTGGACACATTCCAGCTTGTCAATATCTCTCTTGAATTGTGGTGCCCAGAATTGGACACAATATTCCAGGTGTGGTCTAACCAAAGCAAAATAGAGCATGGGGAGCATGACTTCCCTAGATCTAGAACTATGCTCCTATTGATGCAGGCCAAAATCCCATTGGCTTTTTTTGCCGCCACATCACATTGTTGGCTCATGTTTAACTTGTTGTCCACGAGGACTCCAAGATCTAGAGGACCTCTACCAATCACAATGATGAATATAAAATAGATTGAAGTCCAAAGTAAAAAAACCCCAAATGAAGCAGCAAACAGCAATGTCCAGAAAGCTTACAGAAAATCCAAATCAGTAATGCCCAGAAAACTCTCAATTGAAATCCATGAACAAATTAACCCCTGCTAATCTCACTTGAATAGCCAGAAATTTCCTTGGAGACCAGACCGCTGGAAACTGGAAAACCCAGGAGGTTTGTACTTGATACTAAACGATGCTTGGTCTGAGGAAATCCCCCTCGCGGCCACTCTTAAATTCCAAAAACTGATTCCAGCTAACTCTAATCTTTGGTTTCAGTTGTTGGATTTTCTCAGACCTACGTAAACATTGAGCCTCCCTGCGGTTCTGGCTTATCTCCAAACTGTGGCTGTTATCATTGACCCAACCAGGTGTCAAGTTATCTTGCAAGCTCGGGCCAGGAGGAAAAGGGAGTGGATTTTCTTCTCTTGGTCTGACAGAAACTTTCTCCTGAGAACTTGGCTTTTCCTTTGAAGCCTCTAAATCAAAGCCTGTAGGATTTTGACTGCCCAAAGTGTCTCCATCTTGAGCCTTGTCCTCATTGATCACTTCAGCCTCACTATCCAAATTAGGCCCATCAACATTGGCATCAACATTAACATCAACGTTGGCATCAACATTAGTCAATACAAGAAGAGATTCAGGCTCAGGTTCACACACAGGCTGAGTTCCAACACTTGCTGTTGTTCATTCGTTCAGTCGTCTCTGACTCTTCGTGACCTCATGGACCAGCCCACGCCAGAGCTCCCTGTCGGCCATCACCACCCCCAGCTCCTTCAAGGTCAGTCCAGTCAGTTCAAGGATGCCATCCATCCACCTTGCCCTTGGTCGGCCCCTCTTCCTTTTACCTTCCACCTTCCCCAGCATAATTGTCTTCTCCAGGCTTTGCTGTCTCCTCACGATGTGGCCAAAGGACTTCCACTTTGTCTCTAGTCTCCTTCCCTCCAGTGAGCAGCCGGGCTTTATTTCCTGGAGGATGGACTGGTTGGATCTTCTCGCCGTCCAAGGCACTCTCAGAACTTTCCTCCAACACCACAATTCAAAGGCATCTCTCTTCCTTGGCTCAGCCTTCCCTAAGGTCCAGCTCTCACATCCGTAGGTGACTACAGGGAATACCATGGCTTTGACTAGGCAATGGATCTTGGTTGCCAGTCTGATGTCTCTACTCTTCTCTATTTTATGGAGACTGGACATTGCTCTCCTCCCAAGAAGGAAGCGTCTTCTGATGTCCTGGCCACAGTCTGCATCTGCTGTCATCTTTGCGCCTAGAAATACAAACCCTGTCACGGCCTCCACGTTTTCTCCCTCTACTTCCCAGTTGTCAATCATTCTTGTTGCCATAATCTTGTTTTTTTTAATGTCCCAACACTACCGAGCACAATTCAAAGTGCTGGCTTTAACCTATAAAGCCCTAAATGGTTCTGGCTCAGCTTACCTTTTTGAATATATCTCCCCCTATGAACCACCTGGGAGGTTAAGATCTTCCGGGGAGGCCCTGCTCTCAGTCCCACCTCCTTCATAGGTGTGGCTGGTGGGGACGAGAGACAGGGCCTTCTCGGTGGTGGCTCCTCTGCTATGCAACTCCCCAGTGAATCCAGTCAGCCCCCTCCCTTCTGACCTTTATAAAGGAAGTGAAGACATGGCTCTGGGACCAAGCTTTTGGGTAAAAATTCAGTGCAAGAAGAGTAGAGGAAATGTGACTGGAACAGCCTTGACTACGATTACGGATTGTGTGGTTTTTAATAATTGGCTTTAATGTTTTATTTTATTTTATATTTTTAATGTATATGTTTATGTTATCATTGTCTGTTTGATAAGGCATCAAATGGTTGCCTATTGTAAGGCCGTTCTGAGACCCTTACGGGGTTGAGAAGGGCGAGGTACAAATGTGGTAAATATAAATAAATAAATAAATAAATAAATAAATAGAGTTTAGCCAAACACCTTCCTATGTTTTGGGATGATTAGGTTGCCTAAGTATTGAAACTTCCTTACTTAAAAGAGCCACTGTCTTTGGCCATGTAAACATGTTGTTTTCCACCACACAGTTAACCATTTGTCTCTGGTCCTCAACAGTTCAGCAACTTTTAATCACAGTTCATGGAGTCTTCTTGTGTAGTTTTCCAGGCCTCACTTCTTAGGATGGCATCTTGAGACTTGCATGTTTTCGAACTGCAAGGTTGGCAGAAGTTGGGGCTGACAGTGGGAGCTCATGTTGCTCCCCAGATTCAAACCTGCAACCTTTTGGTCAGCAGCTTCAGCAGCCCAGTACTTTAACTCACTGCGCCACTGGGGGCTCCTAATACACACACACACACACACATATATATATATATATACACACACACACAAAACATATATACACAGACTGGGCCACAGCAATGCATGGCAGGGGACGGCTAGTAAAATAAATACAATTCCATTCAAACCATCTTCCTATGTTTTGGGATGATTAGGTTGCCTAAGTATTGAAACTTCCTTACTTAAAAGAGCCACTGTCTTTGGCCATGTAAACATGTTGTTTTCCACCACACAGTTAACCATTTGTCTCTGGTCCTCGACAGTTCAGCAACTTTTAATTACAGTTCATGGATTCTTCTGGTGTAGTTTTCCAGGCCTCACTTCTTAGGATGGCATCACTAGACTACAAAGACCTCCAACAATGCATCTTGGTTGTGTTAATATTGTAAAGGGCATTATTTTATATAAATAAAAATGTAACGTTCGTTTGTGAGATTAACACAATTAATAATTGGCTTTAATGTTTTTAAAAAAATATTTTTAATGTATATGTTTATTTTATCATTGTCTGTTTGATAAAGCATCAAATGGTTGCCTATTGTAAGGCCGTTCTGAGTTCAAATGTGGTTAATTAATTAATTAATTAATTACTTGAATTTAGCCAAAGAGAACACCTTCCCATGTTTTGGGATGATTAGGTTGCCTAAGTGTTGACTGCCTTACTTAAAAGAACCATTGTCTTTGGCCATGTAAACATGTTGTTTTCCACCACAGAGTTAACCATTTGTCTCTGGTCCTCAACAGTTCAGCAACTTTTAATTACAGTTCATGGATTCTTCTTGTGTAGTTTTCCAGGCCTCACTTCTTAGAATGGCATCTCGAGACTATAAAGAGCCCCAACCATGCATCTTTCATACAATTCTATTCAAACATACGTCGTATTTCATCCACGACACATACCTTTCCTTTCTTTTCTCTTTCTGCAGAACTACGCTGCCATGAAGCTGGTGAAGCCGTTCAGCTGAAGCGGAGAAGAGCAAAGGATGGGGCCCAAAGGGGACGGCGAGGGGACCGTGCCTTTCCAGATGCAACATTTGCCTTCTGCTGCAGGCTCTCGAGCCAAAGCATCTCCACTGCTCCTTCCAGAAACTGCTTGATCCTCTGCTTCGAAGTCAAAGATTTTGAAGCTCGCCTTTTTCTTCCCCAGCCTGCCAATGCTTCTCTGGCCACTGACTCTGCCAAACTGGTGCCCCAAAGCTGCCCCTTTGTTTCCCTGTGCAAAGTAGACCTTAGAGAACTAGAAGAGCTGCTGTTCCAACACTGGAGATGCGCCATTCACTTAGAGTCACTGGGAGATGCTTGAAACCGCCTTGGAGAGAAAAACACGCCCCTGTATCTTTGCCACCTGATTTTTGGGTGCATCTACACAGTGGAATGAATGCAGTTCGGCCTCCATTTTAACTGCCGCAGCTCAATACTATGAGGAAGAACTTCCTGACTGTGAGAGCCGTTCAGCAGTGGAACTCTCTGCCCCGGAGTGTGGTGGAGGCTCCTTCTTTGGAAGCTTTTAAACAGAGGCTGGATGGCTATCTCTCAGGGTGATTTAAATGCAATATTCCTGCTTCTTGGCAGAATGGGGTTGGACTGGATGGCCCAGGAGGTCTCTTCCAACTCTTTGGTCCTATGATTCTATGAGCCCTGGGAGATGCAGTTTCATAACTTTTCAATGACTTTGAAGCATAGGTTCTTTTTATTGCAATTTCCAGTGTGAGAGGGTAGATCAGATTACAGAAAAACATCTAGACAAAGAATGACATTGGACATACAGACATACAGATTCTACGCAACTATATTGGATTTACAACTACATTGGTTAACAAACAAACAAAGGGGAATTACATTTCACTCAACATTCACACACATTCATCTTTAGGCATTCAAATGTTACCATATCATCCTTTTCTCCCTCCTTGGAGAAGCACTTGTTAGGCCAGACCCTGCTTTCCTGCAGCCTGCTAACATAGAGTTCCAAAACTTCCATAACTTCATAACTTCAAAACACCAAAATGCATCCTTTCCTTAAGCACAATGCCAAGGACCACAAAATCCAAGACTCCAAAAGTGCACTTCTTCCTCTTCCTTGAGAAAGAAGCCCCAAAGTGACCAGAATCATGCTTTCCCAGAGCATATCTGTCACTCTCAGAATATGCCTTCTCTCTCCTTCCCATGGAGCAGAGCATGGCGGGTGGAACAGACTCCTCCGGTCTGTCACACTTTGAGCATTATTAGACCGAGTCTTTTATAGGAATATTCTGCTGATGTCGTCCCAAAGTCATAAATTAATGATAGACGTCTTCCATCCTGACTCCATCTCCGTTTCCTGGCCAGATGTAGATCTTCTTGATTGGTGTTCATCTTATGTTGACTTCCTTCTTAACATCAGGAATGTTGCAAACATTTCCTTAACTTGAAATAATCATTGTCACAGTTCTTATCACAGTTTACTTTTCAGCTCTTATTAGAAGGTTTCTTCCCTAAGCACAATGCCAAGGACCAGACCTCTGTTTTCCCTACAGCAGAACCTGACTCCCTGCACAAAATCCAAGACTCCAAAAGCGCACTTCTTCCTCTTCTCTTGAGAAAGAAGCCCCAAAGTGACCAGGCTGCTCTTGTGCAGATCTACCACTCTCCATACGTCCACCATCTCTCTCCTTCCCATGGAGCAGAGCATGGCAGGTGGAACCGACTCCTCAGGTCTGCCACACTTTGAGCATTATTAGACTGGGTCTTTTATAGGAATATTCCGTTGATGTCGTCCCAAAGTCATAAATCAATGATACACATCTTCCTGTCAGGAGTCAATTTCCTACGGCATGAAGACATCACAAATTCTCTCCGTGACATCCTGACTGAATCATCCTGACTGCCTTTTCTCTCTGTGACATTTTGAAGCTAGCAGAGGGAGCTGGAAACCTTGTATTGGAACTTGTGAAGCAACAAGCTCTAATAAGGAAACTGAGAAGAAACGGAGATAGGCAGGAAAGGTGTATAAAAGGAAGTGATGGTGGGAAAAAGTCAGTAGTGTCTTTCTTTGCTGCAGAGATACAAGCAATATATTCATTTCCAAGCAAAACCGGCTTGTGAGTGATTATTTAATATTGCTATATAAAACCTACAGTCCTACACTTCCATCCTGGCTCCCTCTCAGTTTCTTGGCCAGATGTTGATCTTCTTGATTGGTGTTGACCTTATGTTGACTTCCTTCTTAACATAATGAAGGTTGCAAACATTTCTGTTATCACTGTCCCAATTCTTACCAGAGTTTACTCTTCAGATCTCATTAACAGGTTTTAATCACAAAGCAGGAAGCAGTAGTTAGTCATTGCAGGACTTAATATTATACTGGTGTTTCCAAAATTATTAACTCCAACCACACATCCTTTCATTCTTCCATTCATTCCCACACATCACATTAAATTCACATTTATCAAATCTACACATTGAATTTCTTATTACACCTCCGCAAACTGCAACTCCCAGGGTCCTGTAGCATAGATCCACGGCGGTTCAAATGGCATCAAGACTGCATTGATGCTAGTATGGCACCCTTGGTGTCTACACATGATGGCCCTGTTGTTTTGCTCAGGTGCAAAGCAAAACAGGAAGCATTGCATCATGGGAAAGGAAGGAAAGTTTTGCAATTTCCCCCATTTGGGATGCATAGCCCCCAGATATCCCTGCCTGTTGTCACCGATTCCATTTGCAAAGGAAGCAACGGGTTAAAAATAGGGATGTTCTTCCACTGCAAGGAAGCCTTTGAAAAAAAAATCGCACGGTTTCGCATTTGAGAACTTACTCTGTGCAAAATTCACATGAGGTATTTTGGTGCTGAAAGTGGCACTTTCTGCACAGAAAGTCATACCACTTCTCTGCAGAAATACTGTTTTGTGTGCAGAAAAATGCAAACAGTGCTATATATTGTCATGGCCGGAATCACTGGGTTGTTGTAGGTTTTTTCGGGCTATATGGCCATGTTCTAGAGGCATTCTCTCCTGACGTTTAGCCTGCATCTATGGCAAACATCCTCAGCGGTTGTGAGGTCTGTTGGAACTTGGAAAAAGGATTTATATATCTATGGAAGGACCAGGGTGAGACAAAAGACTCTTGTCTGCTGGAGCTAGGTATAAATGTTTCAACTGACCACCTTGATTAGCATTTGATGGCCTGGCAGTGCCTGGGGCAATCTTTTGTTGCTCTAAAATTACATCACAACAACAGAGAGGAAACAAACAAGGACATCTAATCACCTCTCAAGAAAAGATTGCTCCAGGCACTGCCAGGCCATTATATGCTAATCAAGGTGGTCAGTTGAAACAGTCACATCTAGCTCCAGCAGACAAGAGTCCTTTGTCCCACCCTGATGTGGTCTATCCAGTGCAATTGGAGAAGGGTCCCTGGTCTAAATGGTCCCTGGTCAAAAAAAGGTTGGGAACCACTTGTGTAGATGCACCCTTTGACTTGACTTTCTCATAATACAGTAGACTCCCAGTTAATCAATGAGGTTTGCTAGATGCCGAGTGTATTAATCTAATTTCTTGCCAAACTACAACTCCCAGGATGCCATAGCATTTAGCCATGTTAATTAAAAGTGAGGTCAAGCTGTATTAATCTAATATTTCACCAAACTACAACTCCCAAGATCCCATAGCATTGAGCCATGTCAATTAAAAGTGAGGCCAACCTGTATTGATCTAATTTCTCACCAAACTACAACTCCCAAGATCCCATAGCATCGAGCCATGTCAATTAAAAGTGAGGTGGAACTGTATTAATCCAATTTCTCACCAAACTACAACTCCCAAGATCGCATAGCATTGAGCCATGCCAATTAAAAGTGAGGTGAAACTGTATTAATCTAATATCTTACCAAACTACAACTCCCAAGACCTCATAGCATTGAGCCATGTCAATTAAAAGTGAGGTCAAGCTGTATTAATCCAATTTCTCACCAAACTACAACTCCCAATATCCTATAGCATCGAGCCATGACAGTTAAAAGTGAGGTCAAGCTGTATTTATCTAATTTCTCATCAAACTACAACTCCCAGGATGCCATAGCATTGAGCCATGTCAATTAAAAGTGAGGTCAAGCTGTATTAATCCAATTTCTCACCAAACTACAACTCCCAATATCCTATAGCATCGAGCCATGTCAATTAAAAGTGAGGTCCAGCTGTATTTATCTAATTTCTCATCAACTACAACTCCCAGGATGCCATAACATTGAGCCATGTCAATTAAAAGTGAGGTCAAGCTGTATTTATCTAATTTCTCATCAAACTACAACTCCCAGGATGCCATAACATTGAGCCATGACAGTTAAAAGTGAGGTCAAGCTGTTTTAATCTAATTTATCACCAAACTACAACTCCCAAGATCCCATAGCATCGAGCCATGTCAATTAAAAGTGAGGTTGAGCTGCATTAATCTAATTTCTCGCCAAACTACAACTCCCAGGGTGCCATAGCATTGAGCCATGTCAATTAAAAGTGAGACCAAGCTATATTAATCTAATTTCTCGCCAAACTACAATTCCCAGGATTCCATAGCACTGAGCAATGTCAATGAAAAGTGAGGTCAAGCTGTATTAATCCAATTTCTCACCAAACTGCAACTCCCAAGACCTCATAGCATTGAGCCATGTCAATTAAAAGAGAGGTCAAGCTGCATTAATCTAATTTCTCGCCAACCTACAACTCTCAAGATCTCATAGCATTGAGCTATGTCAATTAAAAGTGAGGTGAAACTGTACTAATCTAATATCTCACCAAACTACAACTCCCAAGATCCCATAGCATTGAGCCATGCCAATTAAAAGTGAGGTCAAGCTGTATTAATCTAATATCTCACCAAACTGCAACTCCCAAGATCCCATAGCATTGAGCCATGTTAATTAAAAGTGAGGCCAACTTGTATCGATTCAATTTCTCACCAAACTACAACTCTCAAGATACAATAGCATTGAGCCATGTCAATTAAAAGTGAGGTCAAGCTGTATCGATCTAATTACTCACCAAACTACAACTCCCAATATACCATATCATTGAGCCATGACAACTAAAAGTGAGATCAAGCTGTATTAGTCTAATATCTCACCAAACTACAACTCCCAGGATGCCATAGCATTGAGCTATGTTAATTAAAAGTGAGGTCAAGCTGTATTAATCTAATTTCTCGCCAAACTACAACTCCCAGGATGCCATAGCATTGAGCCATGTCAATTAAAAGTGAGATCGAGCTGTATTAGTCTAATATCTCACCAAACTACAACTCTCAAGATCTCACAGCATTGAGCCATGTCAA